TTTTGTATGGGATTGCAGCACAATGTTAAACAGCTGCTGTGTTCCAACTTTGAAACGGTTGTATTTCAGCAGTAGATAAAGTGGTCCCTGTGAAAAGTTTGTTTTCACTTTAAATTTGTGAGGCAGCATGCCTGGGGATCCTAGGGAACAGCGGGTTCTACAGAAACCTAAATTATTGCTGCTGTTTTCTCGCTCTTGTCTGTTATGTGATGTTGTAGTCGAGCCTCTGAGTGTTTACCAATAAGTGCTTGTGTTAATACACATACACACGCAAAACAGACAAGGCACTAGGGAGTGCATTTCTTTGATCTGAAGGTGGAAAGCAATCTGAGTCCATCTTGTTTTTCAGTAAGTTGACGGGTGAGTAGATGACTTAAGAGTATGCCACACAGCCTAAATACATATAATCTATTAAAGCAATAACTTCAGGTTCAGATTCTTTGCCATGCAGATTTATCAGGAACAGGAGTCCAGTACCTGATGCAATGCTGAGTGCATTTAAACTTCCAAAACAGTAATTAACCAAATGGGAAAGGATGAGGAAACAGGTCATTTGCTACCAACATAAAACTTGAAGTTGAATCAAAAATGTATTTTCTCCCACAATATAACACTAGGATAGGATTAGCTTTGAACTTGATTAGAGCAAAGACATGGGGATGTTCAAACAGTCATCACAATAAAAGAGCGTTTATTTTTATTAGATTTGTTTAATACATCAATACATTTCAGAGTTTGTATCTTAGGAGAAGTAATGGGATAGGTGTCATATCTCATACCACAGTAAATCTCATCAAGTCATCAAAGTAATGGGTAGAAATGGGTGCACAGTGTTACAAGGGTACAAGTTTCAACATCTGTTATCTATCTTTAGCCCACCAACCTGAACCACATCAAACGTGATACTAAATGCAGTGTTTAATGCCTGGATTGCAGCTTTTCAAGTCATGCTGCTTTAATGTTTAGTGAGCATTTGAAAACTGAAAAGTTAGTTCATAGGAACATGCAAATAGTTCTGTTTTATTTAATCCTTCAAACAGGTGAATTTTTGTGGCAACCCAGAGCTACCTTGACTTGCACTGTATGAAGAGAGTGTGTTAGATTGTAAACCCTGGTACTTTAATGATTTCCATGGCGTCGAGACTGGACAGTAACCTTGCTGGGGTCACGTGACCCCAGTTATCTTCCTGCCTAGAGCGGTGGGGAGGGGGAGGGGGCTGGACCTGATGATCTGTAAGGTCCCTTCCAGCCCCTAACAATCTGTGAATCTAAGAGCAGAATTTGTTCCTAGAATCTGATTTTCCACATAGCAAGGGGTTTATGTAGAGCTTTGCACAGAGTAAAAACTTAGTGTTGCTTCTCCTACAACTTTAGTTACCATTGTGAGCTTGTGCTAAAATTGCTAGGTTTATTGTGAAGGGCAGTAGATAATTTTTTCTTTAAAATTGGAAGACAATTGATAATTTATTTTTGAGTTAGATAACACAAAAAGTTACTGTTTTCACTAGTTCAAAATACTTCCTGAGTAACAAAGGACTTATTTTTCAGATAGCTCTAATTTAGTGTATGGTTTCTGCATAATTTTTTGCAATTTTGCCATCCAATATTTGGGTACAGGCAAACTGAAAGGTATTTTAAAGTCTGTTTTACTGGTTAACACTCTTCAAAGCACAATTATATCATAAATTGTGCAGATTAATGAAGTTATACTAGAAATGTATTAGTTATTCTACAGTATGACTAAAATGTCATATAGACAGCATCTTCATTAAAACTTATATTAATGAGCTTGAGACATGACTGCAAATCTAATCATGTAGACATTTGCAGATGTACACATCTGCACACATGTGAACACACACACATAATTATCAAAAAAGAAAGGAGCTGAAGTCATGTGCTGCTCAGTGCAGTAGAATGAGCTTATATTTGTTGGGCTTAATTGTAATATTTTCCACCAGTGCATAAGGGCTGAGGGAGATAAGAAAGACATAGGAAGTCTCTTTTCTAAGTGCAACCAGGAAATCAAACCCTCTCCATTGTGTTCAGTGCATCACCTTATAAGTGAGACAACTTTATAACTCATCAGTCTACAAACCATTGTCTTGATGCCTCTCCTCTGGACTGTGCAAGAGAAGTATATCTACATGTCCAGCTAACTTACTTATGTTCTGCAATCATCTGCAAGAGTTAACTTGCAAGCTGTATGCATTCTAAGCAGCGGTAGAGTGAGTACCATGAAATGAATCTTCCCCTTGCATTGAGAAGTCATTTGGAGCCAGCAAAATGTCTGTAACAAAGAACTTACAAGCCTAAACCTCTGCTTTCCCTTGCTGTGCCAACTAGTCATGAGTGTCTGTGCCCTGAATACTCTCAAGCAAATAATAAATATGGAGTAGCATTGTGGGTTTAGGTAAATTAAACAAAGGCAAGATTTACCTCACAACCTGGAAAGAACACTGTATTTGTATTTCTTCTTAAAGGTGAAAAAATGACAAAGTTGCCCCCTATATTATTCCTGGGATAGCTTGTTAAGAGCTTGTGATTCATGGCTCGGCATAGTTGGGGGTGGCAAACTTTAAAATCTGACTTTGCTTCTTCTAACTACTTTCTGTGTCTTCTTTGACAGTATTCCTCAATTCCCTAATTTCCTCCCCTGCTTTATTCACTGTCCTCTTTTAAAATAAAAAGCATTTTGCTGATTATATTAAGAGAGTCACAGTAATGACTCAAGCTGTGTTAGAAAAAGTTCTGATTATAGTTCAAATATGCTCATTGATATAGTTGAAACACAGCAATCTTCTCCTTCATATTTTTGTTAAGGTACAATAAATCTTAGTATTTCTTGAGATTCCTTGAAATATTATGGCATGTTGATTTGGGTCTGAGCAGGAGAGCACATATTTTAACTCTGTCATTTTCTTTCAGATTTTATGAACTATTCCATACAAGTCTCAGTGCATTTTTGTTGCATTTATAGAGAAAAACCCTGACTGTCAGTAGTGTGCACATATTTCCCATGGTAATAAACAAAAGTCAGATTAGCAGATAAGCTATCTGCTTATATATCAAAGATACTGACTTTAAATACTGTTGACATTCTGTTTTTGATACGAACTTTTTAATACTATTTCTTCTTAGTGTCATTTGGTCTCAAGGGAATATGAAGGTGTTTAGAGCTGTGTATAATCAGGGCCTGTGATTTCTAGAGTTTTCAGACATGTGTAGACAAAATGAGAGGTGTGTGTACACAACACTTTAAAGTTGGCTAAATGCTTTTGCACTACTTTAATGGTGTCATTGTTTGCACAGCTCAGTGCCATATTGTGAATGAATTCTGGCCGCTGTAAGAAATTCAGTGGCGTAATGCACCCGAATGACTTGGGGCGAAGCAAACTAAAGCTCCTTCAAGGAGTTTTAGTTTGCTGCCCTACAGCCACAGAGTGAAGCACTGGACTCCGTGCAGCTCCACGGCCCTGCAGGAAGCCCTTCGGGCAGCCTGGCAGCAGCCCGGGAAAACAGCTCCACCTAAGAAAAGTGGCGAGCCTGATTTTTTTTTTCCACCCTGGGGCCTGCTTGCCTGCCTGAGCTGTAGGGGGGCTTGGGGCTTCCCTCTACAGCTGTGGTGCCCCCTGGGACGACTTGAGCCGGATGCCTGCGGGCAGGTGTGGGTGTGCCTATTCCACAAGAAAACTTTATATTAAGTAAATGTGTTAATATACTCTTATTCTCAAAGGCATGAGCACAAATATATGAGCTTATTTGCAATAGGCAAAAAATCTTCACTTTTCTCTGTCGATATGCTGCTCACTGAATTCCACAAACTAACTAGGCCCTGTCTGTTTGGTCCAGTCTTAATCTTGCAATTTCCCATGACCTCTTCTGGTGACAGGAGGGATGTAAATTTAGGTAACTCCCTCACTGGGGAATCCCTGGCAGGGGATCTCAAATATAGCAAACTAATGACTGTTGCCAAATACCCATGTCACCCCCTACTTCCTCTGCCACAGCCACTGAAGGGCGGGCACTCCAGGCTCATTGTATCTGAAAAACAAAACAGGTATATTAAGGATCTTACTGTATTCAAATGGCACATCTTTCCCACAGATTATTGCAGTGCCCCTACCAACTGGTGCTCTGAGGGGCATCATGTTTCGGACTCCTTGGCTTAGAAGTCCTTACTACATCCTGGACTCACCCTTGAACAGGTCCAGTTCCTTGGCCAATGTAGATGAATGAGGGCCGTTTTAGATTTACCCATGTAGGGAAGCTAGCACTAGTATTAGTGCACGCACATTTGGCTTTTGCTTACTGAGCAAGAACAGAAGATCTGTGTCTGGCCCTGGGCTGGTGAGTGCAAAGTTGGAGAGAGCTACTTGGATGTTCTTATCCATGTGTGCCTCTGTGGAAGGTCAGATCAGTCTGGTCCTGATAATGATATAAAACAGTGGGAGTGAAGACTAATTTGTGCCCTCTCATCAGTCCAGAGTCCCTAGGTAAAGAGACTGATCAGAGCTAAATCTAGTTTAATCCAATCTTTTGGGAAGGGCAGAAGCCCTTGTTTGCAAAACTGCTCTTCTGCCAATTCCCACTTTTATGTTTGACCTATTATTTCATTCCATCATATTTTCTAGCACTTGAAAAATGTGTGGGATCTAATCAATACTGTGAAAAGACATTGGAAGAAGGAGCATTTTAAGTTAATGGCTCAGCGATCCAAAATGCTTGGTAAATGACTGTTACAAGAGTTAACAGAGCCAGATTTTCTGTTCAGAACACTCTTATTTTTCATGGGTCCCCTTAACAGCTTTTGATTCTTAACATTTTGCCTGACAGATTCCAGCAAGTCTTCAGTCTATGATTTGATAATCATACAATGCCTCAGATAAGAAAAGAGGAAATATTTATTTTTAAAGTTTAGTGGGGGAAAAATCTGTGCTAGTTCAAACTGTCTAGTTGAATGCATGAGTCCTCCCATTTTTGCCATTTCTTAATTGCAGGTAGCTGGGGACCTTGTTAGCCGATTACATCTGGACACCCACGTTGACAAACTGGTGAGGACATACAGTGGTGGCACAAGGAGGAAGCTATCTGCAGCTCTGGCTTTGGTTGGCAAACCACAAATACTTTTACTGGTGAGCCATGTCAACATCCTCATTGCTTCAGAAGCGCATGCAAATTCAGTTCACTTTTTTCATTATTTTTCAGGCTACTTTACTTATTTCTGCTTCCCAAGTAACTCCAGGGAGAAAGTGACACAAAAGCAGTGTAGCTGTCTTTTTCAGCTCTCTGAATAAATATATTTTACTTTGCATTCCAATGTTCTTGGATTAGAATTCAAAGCTGGCTTCTAGTTTATGATTTCCTACATAGCCTATAATACAACTGTTACTTCTCTAGGTCAGCCTGAGCGTGTAATTTTTTAACGTATATTTCTTCACAAAAAAAAGAGAAATAGGATGTATTATGCAACATGTTAGAATGTGTCATATATTTTTCTCCCCATTTTTGTGTTCCATACCAGAAAAGTAAACCTGAAAATATCTTTCTGTATGGCTTCATCTGCCATAGAGATATTGGTACTGGTTATGTTCATAGGTTCATAGATTCTAGGGTCAGAAGGGACATCCATGGGCCATCTAGTTTGACCCCTTGCCCCTGGCAGGCAAGAAAAGGGTCACCAAACCTGGGGTCATGTGAACCCAGCCAGGTGCCTATCCAGTCTCCTCTTGAAGACCCCAAGGATGGGGCAAGCACCACCTCCCTTGGAAGCCCATTCCAGAGCCTGGCAACCCTGACTGTGAAGAACTTTTTTCTCATTGCTTCCCCCAGTAATTCCTCCTTTCACACGTCTGACCAGGCATTGTGGGGATCTTCCCTTCTCTCTGTCTGTGGGTAGGGGTTCAGCCCCTGTTGGGCTCCAGCCCATCTTAATTTAGTCAGGGCCCTGACCCTTTCCTAGGCCTCCTGCTCTGAAGCCAACAAAAGCCATACGAAAAAAGGAAACAAAAAAATACAGGGAAAATGGCACGGTAATGGGTATTCTGCTCTGTGGCCTCTGTGCCTCCTCTCATCTGCTCTGGTGTACCAGCTGTTGTTTTGAAAATGATCAGAGAAGAAAATAAAAGGAACAAAAAGCAGAGCCATATCAGTCTCTCATAAGCAGTCATAGAATCATAGAAAATTAGGGTTGGAAGGGACCTCAGGAGGTCAACTAGTCCACCCCCCTGCTCAAAGCAGGACCATCCCCCACTAGATCATCACAGCTAAGGCTTTGTCTAGCTGGGTCTTAAAAACCTCCAAGGATGGAGATTTTACAGCCTCTGCTTGGTCCTTGTGGCTCCCCCAGGCCCCTCCTGGGCCAATACACTAAGTCCCCCAGGGCTCTTTTGGAGTTAACATGAACAGCCCTTAGCTCTCTGTATACCCCCCACTTGAGGGTCCTCCCAAAGCACCAACAAAAAAGAGAGCCCTTAGTACTTCCTCTATGCTTGCTCCTTCTCTCCATTGAGAAAGGTTCCTACTCCCAGGCAGCAGCAATCCTGGCCACAAGTGAGTTCCCTTTTGCCTCCCTGAAGAGCTCCATCTCCCTTCACTATTGGGGTCAGCCTCCCTCATCTGTCCTAAGCAGAATTTATAGCTCAGTCAGTCACTCCTGTCTGGCCAGCTGACCAGCTTTCCTGTTCCCCTGATCAGGTTTCCAGGTGTGTCTAATCTTTCTCCCCTCTTGTCCTGGGTTCAGCAGTCAACTGACTGCAGGCTGGGCTTTGAAAGGGTGAGTCCACAGCCCAGAGCCTGGCATCTCCCCTGTGGAGGTCCCTGCTCTTACCTATGGCAAGCTTCTTGACCCCTCCTGTCTAGCTGGGTGTCTGTCCTGGTAGCTGAAATCTCCTCCACACTGGCAGGGTCTTGATTTGCAGCTGGTAATCCTTTCCCCCCTGCAGGCTACAAAGGTTCAGGGATTAAAGGGGCCTTGCTGACTTTCCTTCCCTGGCCCTCTCTTCTCCATAACAGGGTTTGGGTCCTCTGTTACATGCCCCCCCATGGCTGGGAAGTCATAGCAGCTGGGAGAGCACAGAACTTGTGATTTTCCAGCCTTGGGGGTGTGTGGGGCTCCCCTGTGGCTGAAATATCATAGCAGCTGCAGTCTCCAAGCTACGGGGGTGTATGGGGCCCCCTGCAGCTGGGATCCCTGTCAATTGGGAGCTGCCAGGCTTGGGGTGCACATGCCCCAACCAGCTGAGAGCTCTGGCAAGCAGACAGGGCTTGCAACCATGAGGCCTCCTGGCCACACATGCAATTAATGGTGTAATAGAAAGCAGCTACAAAGTTATTACATATAGTCTAGTCCTCTTTTTATCATGCTATTAATTGATTGAATATGTGGCTGAGTCATCATTTAAGACATGATTAACTGGTTAATCACACCTTAAGTGTAATGTGTAGATGGGGCCTCTGATGTGCAAAATGTCACCTGTTTGTTTCTCACCCCAGTTTTACTGTTGCATGTGTATCAAGGCCTGTGGAGATGTACTGATATAGGTGCTAGCACTGTTGCAACTAAGAGAAGAACTTGGCCTAAGAGGGATTGGAGCTCTACGTTACAATCACAAGCAAGTTTTACTCTTTAGGTTTTAGATTTAAAACAGAAGAAGTAAATGTGGTTTCATCTAATAATCAAACAAGCAGGAAACAGTTCAGCTTATCCCTGCACACAGTTCCTCAAATGCTCCTGTCTTCTCAACTATGTGTCCTTAGTTCTCATTGTCAAAGGACATTTTTTTATAGGTAGAATTTCCATGCAACTTCTGCAGATTTAGGAGGCACTAGTGTGTGTTGTGCAACGTTTAAACCAGGATATTCTGCTTGAGGAAAGCCATGGAGAATCAGGGAGCACTGTCTCAGTTTCATTTGGCTGAGTGCAACTTCAAACTGAGTAACATCTGGAAGGGAAGATCTTTGTTAGATTAAAATGATGATCTACTGCTTGAGAGAATTGCACAGGCAAAAATTATATCTTCACTGCTATTCTTCATGAGCCAATGATAAAGGTTTGTGACAAGGCATGGAAGGTTAGTCTAGTGGTATCCAGAGAAGGACAAGGAACTACATTTTTTTTTTGTTTCTTCTCATATTGTGCCCATCACCATGATAAACAGGTTCAACTAGAGGGAATGACATTTCCTACAATCTCCCTTTCTGTCTTGAGGCAGAACTAAATAAGCAAATGTGTCTCAACCATACAGAAATGTCACCAGGAGGCCATATACTCCCTGGAGCAGAGAAGAAAAGAGCAGTCCTAATGTGTCACACACATGAACAGAGGTGGGTTAAGCTAAAGTTGTGCATGCCACCAATGTGTCTGAATTGGTGTGCATTCCTAGAACCAGATATATTTTCCTTCTTCTAGTTTTATATCACTGGCTCACTTATAGGTTGGATGGTTTTACTTATATTTTTAGCTTAGGTTGGTTGAATTGGCAGAAGGAGGAGGTATCTTAAGTCAAAGCCATTTCTGATCTCAGAAGATGCTCCCACTGTTATTTAATCTCTTTATGACAGCCTGCCACTGCAGGTAGCCATTTCAATTTGCCTCTTACTGTGAGGCATACACCCTCACATGTGTAATGTCAAGAAGAAAATCCACACTTTTAAATAACTCAAATGCTCAAAAAGATGCATACATACCAGTGTTTTGGGAAGGATAAAGGATTTTTAAAAGAGTTTATTTATCAAGAATTTCAAAGGCTTTTCTGTACTAAAGTGACTTGAAAATAGTGCCAATTTACCCTGCCCCTGTTTATATTCAGATTTTTTAGGGGGTAAAAATGGAACATGCTTGTTTTATTTGGCCCTTGCTTTTTACACCTGTCATCTATAGAGAGCTGAGAAGGCAACTGTAAGAGACTGAGCTGGATTCTCTTTCTGCTTGTGGCCTTTGTAACTAAGTGACAATCAGGTTTTAGGCAGCACACTGGGAATGCTGAGATCTTTGTTTACACATTTCAGCTGAGATTTTTCTTTACAAAATAAGCAACAAGGTCCTTGCTGTCTGTCTGGATAGCCAATGTCATAAAGCCCTGTCTTGTCTAGCCGTATGAAACCAGAGAGAATGGATTTGAAAGTCAAGGTCATCTCAGCTTACATCTAAGCCCATTTTACTGGACACAAAAGGATGGTGCAGTTTCAAGAGCTGCATTTCATTTTCCAGAGAAACCTTCCACAGTTTTGAAAGCAGAGTACAATGAACTGGCCAATTTAGGAGGACAGTTGGTCATTGAGGGAAATCTTGCATTGAGCCAATCCTTGCTGAAACCACTGTTTCCTGCAATATGGACTGGACTTTTTTGTTTAGAGGGAAGTCCTTGCTGGATTAGGGGAGTCTAGGGAAGTTAAGCAATGATCCAGTTGTGCACAGGTATGACACACGCAGGAAGGGCAACATGGAGATACAGGACCTCCAGTTTGATAGTCTATGCCCTCTGCAGGCAGACACACAAGTTCTAGATGGACAGGGTAGCAAACACACCCCACCAAGCCTTCTCACCCCTACAATAAACCAGAAGAATTGTGAGAGTCCAGGTTCACGGAACTCTCTTGTCCCTGCTTATAAATGGATTGTGCTAGGAGCATCTAGCACTGCCTGACATTTTCCAGGCTTCTTATCGCCTCTCCTATATTCTCGTGGTGAATGGATGCATTTGTGCCTGCAGGATGAGCCCAGTTCTGGAATGGATCCGTGCTCTAAGCGGTACCTCTGGAAAACAATCATGAAGGAAGTTCAGGATGGCTGTGCAGCTGTGCTGACATCACACAGGTGAGACACTGTTCTAGCAGGCAATGTTTTCTGTTATTCTAAATATTTCCTTTGGTTAAGTGCCAATGAACACACTTCTGAGGGAGAAAACTGGTACCCAAGTGTAGATTAAAGGTCTCTTGCTATGATTGGCAATTCCTTCTCATTGATGAAATATGAAATCACCTCCATGTTCTCTCGGTTAAAGTATTAAGGATTAGACTATGGCTTCATGGGTATGGTGAGAGATGGAAGAACATTGGGATGCCCCTCTGTTGAACTGACTAAGGATTCTGGATTGGCATCAGCATGTCAGAGCCTGTTGCTCCCTGGTGGATGTGGTATATACTGTCTGTGTACCACACCTGGTCTCTATACAGAATTGAGGGTCTTGCCAAGACTGCTTGCTATGATCACAATTTCTTCACTTTAATGGCAGAAGCACTGAAACTCTTTTGTAGCACTTATGCTAACTTGAATCAACTGCATATCCCCTGCAGGGCATTCAGTATAATAGGCATATTTATATATAAAATAGCTTACATTGAGGGAGCAGTCTGATTTGTGGCTGGAAATGTTTAGCTGTGTAATTAGAAAAGCATGCCCAGAAGGGGCCATATTAATTAACAGAAACACTGAATTAATATTTTGGCCAAATCAAGTTTTGAAGTCATAAATTAACTGACAAAATAATGCAACAAAATATTCCATAAAGATTTGTTAGATATTGTTTAATTAATTTGCTTTAGATGTATTTCAGATATGTTTCTTATATAGGGCTGTTTAAAGGTTTTAGATTTACCAGCAAAATGCTCTCAGAAAATGCATTTTGGAGCCATTTTTAAGTGATCATTGAAACAGAATCCGACTAGTTGCAAACGAATATCTATGCCTGATACATAGATATTCATGTGCAACTAGTCAGATTCTGTTTCAATGATCACTTAAAAATGGCTCCAAAATGCATTCTCTATGAACTGAGCCCTATCTGTGTTGTTTACTGATGACTGCTTAAGAAACCAGTCATCAGTAAACAACACAGATAGGGCTCAGTTCACAGAGTAAAACAAAAAAGGCATAATTTTCATATTCAGCAAATAAACCAAAGGCAATTGTGTTCTGTTGTAATCAGGATAGTGAAATTCTTCAAATAACTTGCAGGAAATAACTTTACTAGTGAATGACTCTGATCTAGGGGACTAATAATTAGCAAGAGTTGTCTACACAGATTTCCATTCTAATTAATAACACTTTGTTGTTACAGGTTGTAGAAAGGAAAAGTTTAAGTTTGGAGGCTAGATTTTCATAGGAACTTTTAAATGATAAATGATATGTTTTATTTCGAAATTGAGTTTCTTGTGCGTCACAAGTGAACAGAAAAGAGGAATGGTTGTTAAGTGTTAGTCTGAAAATTTAAGCTTAGGGCTTTTCCACTTCTGAGTTGCCTATATTGGCTGTTGTTAGCCCCAGAAAGTATGTTTCACTGTTAAGGCACTGCCCTACTCTGCCTGTGGAACTGCATTGCTTTTCCACACTCCCAGCGGGCAGCCTTATGTGCTTCTACAAGGTAGGTTGCAACTCACTCAAAGGGGAGGTGTCTTCCCAAACCAGTGCATCTAACTGGTAGCTGAATTGACTTAAGTGTAAAGTGAAGGGAAGGTGCGAGGAGGAGGAGGCATCCCCCAGCCTTTTTATCCAGTACCCTAACAGAGGGAGACTCTGGTCCTTTCTTGCATAGAGGATACGTAAGGTCACGTCTCATTTCTCATGAAAGTATTCTGACCACCAGTCTATGAATTAGGCAGGGCTGTGTTACCAGATTTGCCCGCTACTTTGGGGTGTGCTCATTTATTAGGGCTAGGGTCTTGGTAATTCTATTAATGTGCTGCTTGTGTTACTGGTGTTTTTATACGGAGCTGTATCTCTCCCCCTGCAAGCCCTTACCCCAATGGAGCTATCTTGCAGGACTCAGTTCAGTGGAGCTGGGTTCCTCCAGTCCCCAAATCAGTCATACCCACAAGCACACACAGATTAACGTGACACGCCTGACCTGGCTGGGTTTATCACCATGGACAGGCTGACACCCTCATACGCCAAGAATCAGTTCATCAGAGCAACCATAGCCACAGTCAGACACAAGCACACAGTTAAACAGAATACCTCTGAATCTGGCTGGGTGTCCAGATGACACCCTCATGGGCCAGCATTCAGTTCATTAGGGCACGTCTGAGCCAAACTGGGTCAATCAGCCTGTACAAGCTGATCCCCTTATGTGTTTCAAACTCAGCACGTCCCAATCTTTTAGCCTCTTGATGAGCAGACCCCACAGTATTTTTGGGCTACACAGGGATCTTTAGC